AAAACAGGCTACCCAAGACAAAGCAAAAAGGATGCTGTTGTCTACAACTTTTGATGTCGTATTTACCTTTTATTTAGAATTCTGTATACTTCCAACTCGCCTAAAATAAAAATAATTTTTGTAAAATCATTTATATATACAGTAGTATCTTTACATGGAAAGTATGTATTAATGATTATTACTTATTACTAAAACATAGTGAGCTAAGGTCTATTAAAAACTAATTTTCGAGGCTTAATTATAAAAACTATACAATGAATCATACATTATACAACAAAAGTAATAAATTATTTATCACTTGAAACACATTGGTAGCACACGTTTACCAATTCTGCAAAAATACATTCACTCTTTCCATTGTGATGAAATGCTGTATGAGAAGTAGGTATTAACAAGTTCAAGTTAAGTTAGTCTTTGATCACATGAAAAAACAAAATTGGGGAATTGATAGTAATGTGCTCACAGAAATAAAAAATCAGTTAACCGATTAATAAAAAAAACCCATTCAGAATATCTGTATTTGATACTAGATTGATGTTGAGTTATAAACTCGTATCATCGCCATCAAACGATGAGAAAGCAACACTGTAGTCCTACTGCACAACATATCATCACACATATCTGTGTTTCTGATCGTATTTCAATTTCTTCTTAACGTACTCAACTTTTGCTTATGTAACAGCATGTTTTCATATATTCTATCGAAATCCTGAAATTAAGTTGAAATTAGTATAAATGTTTGATTATTATTAATAATAATTGAGCATATTCAAAAAACTATTTTTTGCATACCAGTAAAGTGCTCTTTGAGGATGAGATACGCACAAATGGAAAAACTGAGTAAATGTGCAAAGTTCTAGTCCCACTTTGATTTTTTTGATGTTTTTATTTTTAACTGAATTTTTTCCGGATATCCCAAAAATATTATTTATAAAAAATGTTCAGAAGCATTCCGTTTTCATACCAGCATTAATCAACACACTGTATTAGATGACTGCTACTAGCTTTAATGACCACCCTGTATATATAGACGAATAATTGGGCGCTTCAGTACTAAGAAACGGTAACTTCCAGATTTATTTATTTCTTCTAGGAGGGAGAAAAAGAAGGTGAACGTAATGTTTTAATTGTAGATCCGTGTAACAGCTGATAAGGAAACAAGTTGCTGTATGATCAGTTTTATAAATAGGATATGCAAATTATTTTTGTAGCTTCCAACAGCGCTCGGCGTGGGGTAAGAATAATTAATCGTTGCTAATTAGTTGTGTTGCAGCAAAAAGTTATCCAAACCAGTCGCGAGTGGTTTCATTAGAAGAGGCCTTAATTGAGCTAAATTTTATAATCAATTAAGTTTTTTGTGTTTATCGCAGGCCGCGCAACTGTTCTAAAATCTTGTGCAGGGGCAAGACCGCATTCCCCTGGTGGCGCCCAAGTCTACTGTCCGGTATATGTTCCCTCACAATATTTTCAAAAATTTAAAATGTGCCCCGCGTGATTTTGCAACACCTGTCCTGAAACGGAATCTCTGAACTCTGAAAACCTCAAACGATTTCAAATGTGCACGGTGTAATGGCACTATATGAAAATGTTAGGCAATGTCAATCTACCCATATATCCGAAGTTTGCATAGGCGATACAATGTCCGTTGGGTCCGCTATTATCTCTATAATTATATAAATAAAAAATGAATGTTTGTCTGTCTGTCCCTTATGCCTGTCAAAACCGTTAATCCAATTGCGATGAAACATTGGGGAATGGTTGGACGTATGCCCGCGAAAGTTTCTGAATTAGTAAAACACTTTCTGACATTGTCTAGGAATTGTATACCTAATACCTAAATTATACAGATTGCCAGTAACATATATAAATAAACCACACATTTATTTAAGTTGACCCCTGCATTACTGGTGGCCTTTGAACTTTTTTGACCCCACACTCTGTTCGAGAGATCATGCTCACAGTTGGACAACCACACGATTTTAAGAAGAACCTATGGGATCTTTAATAACAATAATAGATAATATTGACGAGTTCCTTTATATATCAATAAGCTACTGGGCGTACTGACGCACAGTAGAAACTGAGATGAGTAATTCATTGGCTCATTAATGAATAAACGAACACGCCCAATATTATGCTTTACCATCATGTCTGAAAAAGCGTCTTCCTCATTATCATCGTCATTCACATTGCCATCGCCTTCATCCTCATCATCATCCCGATAAAGATTGCTTATATCCAGTTCTACAAAATAAGAAAATAATAACCACGCCTAATAAACCAAAGCTTACCCTCGTCGGATTCGTGAGGTTCGGATTTAACAGTGACATTGCCATCTTGTCGTTCAGCTTTTATACCACTCTCAGTTTTGACATCAACATTTGATTCGGTTTTTCCTATGGGTCGGTGATTCCATTTGGATTCCCCTACTATCATGTCGTCAAATACAGGCGGTTTCCTATCGCTAAAGATTGGCTCAAATTTGGATTCGTCATCACTAACGGGACTGGACTGTTCACGTTTAACCGACGTGACATTTACGGGCAAAGACTCCGAGAGATCATCCTCGAAAATTCCCACACTATCCGCTTCCGGGGGTATGTCTTCGGGTTTATTCAAACTACCGTTTGTGCTTGCAGTACCAGGTATTTCGGGCGTTTCCTCTCGAGTTTTTGGTGGATTTTGAGGTTTCGCCTCGCCCGGCATGCCGATCGTGCCGTGCAAACGCCTGAATCGCACAATCAAACTTTTACTGTACATTTGCTTGCAGTGCGTTCGTTTAAAGGCTTCCAATGATTCTGCGGCGGTTCTGAACCCGATAAACGCGTACCGAGTAAATTTCATTTTTTTCGCAAATCCGATGTCTATTCGTTTATTGTTAGGATATAAATTGACGATGTCATCCTTTGTTACTTCTTGAGCCAGATTGCCGACATACAGTGTTAGTGGATCGATGTCGTCGGCGAGTATCACCTGCTCTTCGTCACGATCCTTTTTATATTCCACAGTTAAATAGCCTTCTCCAAACTTTTGTTTGTTGAGAGTGTTTATGATTTCTTCGGGATCAGCAGATTCCTACAAACCCATGATAGAATCACGAATTCCCACTAGTGTAGGTATCTAAAAGATTTCAGTAATGCCAGAGGATGCAAATTTTCATGTATAGAAATGAGTCGCTACCTGTTAAAGATGGATCACCTTGTATGTCTAATTTCAATTTTTATTAACGTTAGATGTTATCTCATGTTTTTTGCCGGTCGTAGATAAGATGTTTTCTTAATGTTGCGTACAATAATTCAATTTCAAAATAAAGACGTGGTATGACCGTTTAGAAAAAACTGGTGCTTTTTTTGTGGAAGACGTGAATTGAGGTTTTTTACGTTTAAACGCACCTGTATTTGAGGGTATTTGTTGCAAAACAGTTTTGCCAGATATCACGTTCTAGAAGGAAATTAGTTAAGTTACGAAAACATGTAATCACAGTGCTGTTGTTGCCGAGCGTCTGTCGCTTAAGAGAAGGTCTTCAAGTTATCAGTTAAAGGAAGTTTTTTCACCATCAACAGGCTAATACTATAATTGTAATAAACAAAGTTAGTGTCGTTTAAATCAAAGTTTGAGTACAATCGAAAAAGTGAAGTTCCGATGTATTATAATTTTGTGTGTTTGTTTGAAAATCCCAGTTACGACCGGGGATTTTGGTTATTGACACTTTAAGATAATTAAGATTTATTTACTTATTTTCCCTCTTGTTCTACGCCCTCAACAGACTTACGCCCAATTACAGAGTGACCCGCATAATGCTTTTTAGAGGTGCCCCTGCAGAAAGTCTTTAAGTTGTTCTATACTACTCCTGTATTTGCCTTACTAATTAGGAAGACCGCAGGAAAACCTAATTCGGAGTAGCCGGCATAATGCTTGAAACTGATCTAAGGAAATTCCCATCTCTGCCACAGATAAAAAATTCCTACCTCATCCCAGGCCCGGTTTTGTAGCCCAAAAGATTGCTTTCACTAATTGTCTATCGTTCGCTTGAGTGCCTGTTTTTCTTTCAGCCTGATTGTTTTATGTCAAATAAATTTGTTTCATCTGTAAATGATTGGTTTTGTGATTAATCGAGCCCAAAATTATGACCTGCAATTAGCTAATTAAACAATTGTTAATTAATTCTTTGGAATTTCGGAGGCGGTTAAGGCTGCTGAATATTTCAAATTAAAAACATTTACGTCAATATCAATATTTTCGTGTGGCCGGGGCTGGACGTGCCTTAGAAAAATTATAATAATTATTCCTTTTAAAGGTTTTATTAGTATCCGAGTTTAATTGAGCTAGTATTGTGGGTGTCTTAGTGATCTTTGCACCACATACCAGAATGTCTCTCATGGTAGCATAAACTCTTCATCCGATTGCGATGAAACTTTGGGGAATGGTGGGACGCAAAAGTTCTTGATTTAGTAAAATTGCGCGAGGTGCTGCCGAAATCGAGCTTATGCCCCATTGACTCCTTCTTAGCTCCTAGACTCTTATATATTTGTATGTAAAACGGAAAATTAATTTCATTAAAAAAATTGAAATAAAAATCCCATGCAAAAACGCATAGCCCAAATAACGACGAAGCAAATAGTGGGAAGAAAGCATTCATTAAGCAACTGTATGCGGTGTGGAATGTGCGCTGGTCGTTTTCCAGAGCGCGAACCATCATCTCCATCAAGCCACCGTCGCGCTGAGGAGGACGCAAAAAAGAGAACAAGAAAGTTGAAACTCTCCTAGTCGTAACTCAGCGAGGATTCTGTAGTCGGTCCGTGCAAAGCGTAGCTGGAAGCCAATGAGTGTAAGTTAAAGTAGCTCAGTGTGGGAACAGAATACGGAATAATATAGCGTATCTTTATTCGGTGGTGTGGGTAACCAGAGGAATGAGGAAACGTTGCTGTTGGATATTTCTTTCCAGTACAGTCGCTTCTATTACAAATAGTAACGAGCGATTAAAAATGAGTGGCGGTCGAGTCGCCTTCGGAAGTTCAACTTAAGTACGAAACATCATGTAAACAAAAATTCCAAAAGTGATGACACCGACAGCAATTCATTTTTGATCTCGTAGTATATTAATTATAAATTTAAATTTGTTGGGTATTGCATCTACCAGATTTGTTTGAACTACTAATAATGAAATGTGTTTTATGATCATTGATCCTGTACAGTTGGATGTCAAATTTTATACAAGTTTTTCCAGAAATTGAAATTAGACAAAGGCATTGAATTTATAATTAAATTCAATTACAAAGTCATAAAACACCCAAATAGATAAATGTTCAACGGCTTTCTACAACGTTATGAACTCAAAAGCTGACGAAAGTATTGCATCCTTCACATTCATACTTGTAGTTGTAACTTCATGTTATTGTAGTTATTGTCAACATATTATGCGAATTTTGCGAAGTGGTTATTCATAATATACTCTACCTGAGGCAGCTGTACCCGAAGCAAATTTTCGTAAAGCGAAAAAAATATGGTGTCATAGTTCATCGTTCCGTACATCCCCAACTGAACGAGTACATTACTGAAAGTTTAAAAGCGGTCAAATATCATGCGAAAGCATGCTCATTACGGAAATTGTTTGTGTGTATTATTGGTGCTGAAGCGACGATCCACGAACGATTTGTATTTGACATTCTCTCAATACAGAACAACTTTAATAAGTAGACATAGTGCTCTAGTTGTGCATAATAATACTATTATTTCTTTTAGGGATCAAATTTATTTAAAATTGGAGCAAGATTTGCGCGATTTTTGTCTAAAATTACAAACTGCATGTTCCTATTTAGATCCCGTTCCTGATAATGCCGTTTTTAAAATTATGCTCCACACTTCGGAATATTCAAATATATCATTTAATAGTAATTCTGCGTATGAGGTTGTTATTTCTAAAGTAAAGATTGCTTCTGACGGTCAGTTTTAGGATTTTCCCTGGTTGCAAGTAAAAGAGCAAGAGTTTAAGATTTCCGCACCTGATGTTGTACCTTTACATACTGTGAAAAAAGATTCTCTTGGTTTACAAATATATCTAGAAAAAAATTCATTGTAAAAGTATTTGTTACTGATTTAATTATAAGTAAATTACGAAAAATGAAATTAGACTTTCTCTGACCATTTGTTAATTCATTGTTTATGGCCTGGCCCAAGTAGATGCAAATTAAAGCATTGTTACTTTTATGGTGTAGGTACTTATAGTTATATTCCTACATACTTGGGTAGTTGATCGTCCTGAAAGTTTTGAAACTCCACAGTCTATTTGAAAAAGTTGACTCCTGTAATTTCAAACATTTCAGAAAGATAGTATATTCTCTTTGCTATTTTACTGAAACGCGCCTATAGATCCACTGCAAAAAGACCTTGTTCTAGATTTTTGACTGTATAGAATCTAATTATCCTATTATTATTATTTTAGCGAAAAACGACTAATTTGAGCCACAGGAAGATTTTGTTCTTATAGATCTTTGTCCTTTAGAATAGAGTCGATACCAGACTAGTTGTTTTTCGGTGAAATAGCAAAAGGAGTAGCTACACTTCAGTAGAAAATCATCTTGTGTGAAATTAACTGGGCAAACCTTTCTCTTATGGTTTTTAACTTATGTACAATCCAAAAAGACTAGAATTTTCAGGTTGGGCCACTATATGGTTATGGGCGAAAAACCATTGGTGATACTCATAACTTTCAATGTAAGGAGTCGTTCAAATCTGAGAATTCTGGTCGTTTTGAATTGTACAAGCGCGAAGATCTATAAGAAAAATGTTTTTCCAGTCGATTTCAAACTGTTTGTTTTTTGATGAAATATGAAAGATTTTTGCCACTAAATTTGGTTAAAAAACGACTTTCTCGGGATCGACCAGAATTTAATACTTTGTGTGCCCCGAGGCCCCAAAAAATTTAACTCCCTTCGTCGGAAGACAGGGGGTGAGAGGGGAGGTGGCGAAAGAAAGTGTATAAGCTCCTATTAGGTTTACGATCCATTTATCGTTATTTCATATCCGCGTGATCCGCAAAGTGATGGGTTGATTGTGGGGAATTATTTATTCAGAAAAAAAAAGATGGTTAACAAATGGCATCGAAACAACTGTAGGTATACAGTGTTCTATTTAAAAAAAATCAGTTATTTTTATTTACACCGGATAAATGGGACACCTGCAATGATGTACATTCAAAAATAATTTTTATAGAAGCGCAACCATCATTTGCCCCCTAGGCCTTATAATGGTAAATCCAACTCTAATTGTACGATTAGTGTACATGACTATAAGTTATATGGGCAAAGAATATGCCATTTGCTTTTTTCTTTAAAAATCGGTTTTAGCCCATAACCGTTGTATTTCAGCAGAAAAGCAATTATAAACGTCAAAATTTTTAAAAATCTTTGATGTTGATGGGTATAGAGAAATGTGGTATCTGCGACCGAAATAAACCAAATCATTCGCAAAAGGCTGGGTTCAGTGTTCTCGTTTCGTCCGTTCGAGGCTTCAGATTCGCTGAGCGCTGAGACCTCATCACTCAAACGCTAGAATATGATTTAAATGCTCACAAATGAAAGGCTAGAATCGGTTATTGTGGGTTTAAAAACTACCCTAGTTTGGAACAAATTTTAGAACTCTTCTCAAGGACCCTAATAAAATAAGTTACTCATCATTGCCAGGAGGCAAAGTAAGCCGTCCCCTATTAGTTAATAGTTATACAGTCATAAATGTCTGAGAAGCCTTTTTTGGGGAAACAATTATTAATAACCTCTATAAAGCGTTAAAGTCCTAATTCTAGTTTCACGCAACCCTTAATCAGTGCCATCATTGTCAAATGAGATTAGGGAGGTTTTTTCCTATAAGTTTTACTTATTATTCTACAATTATAAATGCTGAAGTTCCATAATTTATGAAAAGCATAGGGTCCGAGGAATCTGAGCTCTGAGTGTATGGAATACCTACCCCCCAATAGACTGTAGACAAAGATATTATGATGCAGGGAAGACATTGAATTGTTCCTTTTCCTGGGTGGTATTCCATGCAAAATAATAATTCTTAAATTTATCAAGAACTATTGAGTAGTTTTCGCAAATTTAAATTTTTCTTCATTTTCTATATTACCTACCTCAAGTTTGTTGATTAATATTACTTTTCAAACCTCCATCACGAAGTAGCGAACTATAAATGGGTGCAATTACAACTAGCAACCGAAAACGAGTGTTTAAACATAAGGTGCCGTGAGAAATTGGCTCTCATTTTTGGACTGTTACTGTTTTTTCTAAAACTCTCCCCAAAATGTAGAATTTTTATGCGTGCAATTTAATGGGCTAAAATTTATCACGAAGTTAATTTCTTTTTACCCTCTACACCACAGTAGGGTAGAATTTGAACTTAACAGTGTATCGGTAAGGGGTATTTTTCATAAGAGTGTAGAAAAGAAATTAAATGATAGCGAAGGGATTTTTATAATTAGATAAGCGTCATTGTATATGAAGTGAACGCGAGACGAATAAGAAAAGCAGCATTCGCTCTCTTACAGCGGTCACGTAAATTCTAAAGAGAAGTGTGCAAATATTACGATGTATACGCAAGAATTAGCGCTAGAATTGATGACTTGACAAGATGATTGGGTCTATAGTTAAGAGCTAAGTGAGTGGAAGGTAAGGAATTTAGTGACATTTTCGCCGATAAATAGAAAAGCTATTATAAATTTAATTAAGAAGACGTACTTGCGCTTCCTTGTAGAAATTATAAAACTTTCCATTGGTAAATATGGACATTTGAATAATCCATAGCTTTCGGTTTTCACGCGCCAGTGTATTAACCAGCTTGCGTTGTTTTTTACGGGACAGGTCTTGTTAGAGAAATTTGACCGAGAAGATATCCTACAAAATTGGAGAAATCAGTATAGAAATCCCAGTTTCCAAAACCACTATACGAAGTCTACTAGAAGAGGAGTGCGTGAAATCGACTTAAGTAGATCTGCGATGTTTGGTTGCCAATACAGCAGACTGATGGAAATTCGGACCGAAGCGATAACAGCTCTATTTCTGACCTGTATGGTGTATTTTTATTTCGATTAGAATAAGGGAACCGCTCTTTTAGAGTGGCTGTCAGAATTTTGTTTTCATTATTCCAAGATTTAATAACAAATATATTTAAATTTGTATTAACTTTTTGAAATTATTACTAAGTAGCCTACAAGAAAAAGTAAAAAGAATTTTGTCAAGCAGAGACCTATATACCTATGAGAATTGGAGTGTGATTTTGAACTAACATTTTTTAGTTACAAGTTATTGACAATTAATGAAATATTATAGTGAGATAGAGACTAACTAAATTTTACTTAAACTATTTTTACCTGAGCAAGGTGGAAG